CTGTAAAATGCTAGCAGTAAAATCTTAAATTCTCAGTTTTTCATTGTTTGTTTTTCTCTGCAGGTGCTTATAGAAAACGCCAAAGCTAATGGAGATGTTAGAGCTCTGGAACTAAATGAGAAATTGTCAGCAAGTGCCTAGTATGAACAGTCTTAAGTAAAAAAATCTTCCAGTCATCCAACTTAATTAGTCCACTTTCCAGAATATTGTTTGGCCTGTTTTATTTGTTTATGTCTGCTTTTGGTCTGCAAATCAACCTGGTTGATTCTATGATTCTTGAACCAAAGTATGTTATTTTCTTGTTGACATAAGTTTCATCATAAAATCACACTTATTTTGAAAAGAAAACCTTGAAATTTGCTTTTGTGTGCTTTGTCACTGAAACTTCATTGCTATTCACAAATGTGAGTGTATTTATCTGTATGTCCCCCTTGGCCACACACAGAAGCACAGTATTTATCTGGTGTCACTGCCAATGCTTTTTGGTTTTTTTGTGGCACAGAATCTTAAGAGCTAAGTAGCAGCAAACTTATTCTTTCATAATAATTTAGCTGCTGACTGCTTGATTGGATGAATCATGACAGTGGTTCTTAAGACATGTTGTTATTTTGCCTTTATGTGCATGAAGATTTTAAAAAAAATAAAGCAATGACTCTAACCTGTTAATGTTACCATGAGGTTTTTCAGTCTGTTGACAAGAGTCATGATAGCTGTCCATTTCCTGGTTTAAAGTTCCTTAAAATTTCTGTCCACCCAGGTCTTAAAATGGCTTATACGATCCCATATTAAAGCAAAGAAAGGGCACTTCAAAGGCATGTGGTGGGACTGCACTGAAGGGGCACTTGATTTTGAAACCAGTTGTTCTGGGCTTACAGAAAGCAGGATGAAGAGCTGGGGTGTGCATCTCTGCAACCAGTCAGGCACAGTCGTCTCTGGAAAGTTTGCCATTGTCATTTTAACAGGACAACTAAGCCTAGTAAGCTGAGGCTTACGCTCTGTGGATGTGAGTAGAAACCTGTGAATGGCAAGAATCCCTCTTTATCTCCCACATGTTCATTCTTCCACCTTACATAAAAAGATGATTTTCAGTAAATTTAGAGTTTTTGTAGCTTTTACCCTTCTAATTCGCTCCCCCATCCCGTTGGTGGGGGAGTGAGTGAGAGGCTGTGTGGTTCTTGGCTGCTGCTGGGGTTAAACCACGACAATTGTGTTTCCCTTCGCAGCCTGCTGTCACATAGTCCTGAACTATCAGGAACTGCAGATATTAAAAGAAGGTGTTCCAAAGCCAGACTTGTGATTCTCAAGACTAGCTGTACCTTTTTTTGGCTTGCTGCTATTAAAAATCTAGAAAAATTCTTGCAGCCTATGATTCGTATGCTTGGTGTATGGTCTTGATCTGTGTGGCTCCCACTCGTGGTAGGAGAGCTATCATCATTAGCCTGACAGGAGCACGGTAAGTGCCTGATTCTGTTAATTTTTCTATATGAGCATTAGCCTATACTTTGTTAGCACTCAGCCTTAAGTACTTTCTAACATCTAAGAGAACAGACAAATGGCATCAGGCCAGAGAAACTAGCTGAGTAAGCATCAACTGTGAATACTCTATTAGAAAAAAAATAGTAGTACAGTGAAGAATCTTCAGAAGACCATGAACTTTCTTTTACTGTGACTTTTTTGTTATATTAGGCAATATAACTTAAGTTCAACTATGAGAATACCACATCATACTATTAGTTAAAACACCATCATCTGCAACTTTCATTGTCTCCTACAAGAGGTGAGTGGTTTCTAGTTTTTACTCACTGAGGGAAGTTTAAAAGTACCAAAGATTCTCCCTGCAGGAAAAATGTGATTAATTACTGAAGTGACATTCCCTACTGGCTGCACTGATTTACTTTCCACTGTCCTGCTCTGCAGGTCTGGCTTCTCAGAGAGGCCACCTGCAATCCATGGCTTGAAAAACCTGCTTTTCTGTAGAGCAAGGAGGACGAGGGACTTGAGGTAAGTATTATTAGATTTTATTTGTGTCCTCTTGGACTTTCTTCTCTGGGCAATGACCATTACTGGGCTTCCTGGAAACAGATGTACTGTAGAAATTCAGGTTCCTATTGCAGTTGTATTGTGACCACCTTGTTTTTTGCCTCCTTCCTAAAGAATTTTGTTAGCCTCTGTTGGGAAATTATACTGGCCTTGCTTCCAATGTTTTCCCACATATTTCCAGACTGTTTTTCTTGTGTTTTGAAGCAAAACAAAACCCACAATGTCAGTTATATTTTCTGAGTGTTCCACTAACCACCACTTTTATTCAGTGAAACAGAGAAGATGAGAAATAAACCTTCTTAACAATGTATCTACTGTTTGTCACCCGTACCCAGTTTACTGACTATTTTTAATGATCCAATAACTTTAAAAGATCCAAATAATATACTCTGATACCAGTTTTGATAATGCTCTGTGGACACCGAGGAATTTATTCGGCTTGATTTCAGTATTTGCACCAACCTAAAACTAGTGTAGCTTTATGGCAGGACAGGGCAAACCATGATTAATAACAGAGGACTTGTTGTCTTGAAGTCCTGTAAATAATATGCGTACTTTTGTAGGAATTCTGCTTGAAAGATCGTAAGTCAATCCTTAACATGTAACTTTTTCTTCTAGAGCAAAGCGTTCTCTTGTACAATTGCAAAACAGTTCCCCCTAGTCCCATATTCTACGTAAGTTGTCCATTAGGTCAGTTTATTACTATAACTCATTTTCGTCATTCTGAGGTTTGATTTTTCAAGAATAAAAGCTTCTTGTATTGAGTTTGTCATTTTTCATCATACCAAGCACCTGTAACCACAGAGCTTGCTTCCTGGAGCACTAATCTTTGCTCAAGAGAAAATGAAATGATACTGTGATAGTCCTGTTGATGTATCCAATCTCAGCATGGGAACGGGAGGTTCCCATATGCACACGTATACACATGAAGATATATAATCTGGAGATTTTAGTCCCATCAGCCATAAAACAGAGGTTTTATGCCATTTTGTTAAGAGTACTGAAAAAATTTTGGGGAATATAATTTAATGAGTGAAAATTAATAAACCATGAATGAAGCAGAATCAATGGTCAGCTTTGTTCAAAGGCTCAACACCAAATCCTGTGTAGCTGGCAGCTGGCATCTGACTTTGCTTCTATTTCTCTGAAGCTGGAAAAGTAGGATGAAGGGAGTATTTATACCTAAAAATTGAGACTATGTTTAGCAACTTAGAAAATATTTGGCAAAGTCTGGGGAGAACTGCAGAAATAATTGACTTTTTAGAAAAATTATTTAACAAGTACTGAAAATGATTGCTATGAATCACACTAACAGTTCTGTGAGGTTACATGGCCTCTGCGGTTCAGACCAAACTATCACAATGGCCTCCTTGGGACACAAATCTCTGAACGACAGCCCATGCATGGTTCTTGATGAATGAAAGGCATGAAAGTGGCTGGGGCCCATCTTGATGGACAGGCTTGATAGTGAGAAGATGATTATTAATAATGAAATTACTCTTAATAATGTCAGTATTTTGTATTACGGCAGTAATTATTCTTACCAATACTAAAACAGTACTGTGTTTTATTTTCTTTTTAACTTTCTCCCACTAGCATTCCTCCTGCAGCGAGCTTACAAAAATACCCGTAGCAGGAGTGAGCCCACAGATGCAGATAGTTTGCCATGCTCTTTGGCCCAGCAAGGACCTGAAATAATAATAAGGGGATAATTATGTATATTTAATAAGAGCATTCTCCAGTAGTGCTATGATTAATTTTCATGGGCGAAAATAGATCTATTGACAATTGAGTTGACTTTGTGCAGTGGAATGCAGCTATTCTAACCTAAATGACCCCAAAAGATAAGCATCCACTCTGAAGGGTCAAATTTATAAGCAAGGCTCAATTCCCATGAAAACTTGCAATACGTTTAAAATTCACCTGGATTTCAGTAACAATATCAGTTTGTACATTACAACACAACTGCCAGACTGCAGTCCAAGATTCCTGGGTCTCAAACAGCTGCACATTCACTGGAGAGGTAAGTCTGGGCTTTAAAACTTATTTTTATGCGGAAGATCTAGTCTTCTCCAGAAGTCAAATTTTATTGCAGTTCTATAAAAAAGGTGCATAAATCTGTCAGACTTTTAAAGGAGCAATTGAAAAGTAGACAGACATTCCCCAAAGGACATTGAATTTTGATTAAATTTTATATTAACGAAAAAAACCCAAACTCTTATATTTTACTAAATAAGGTTTTTTTATTTTATGTTAAATACATGATGCCAGCACATCTCAGTGTCTATAAAGCCTCTATAAGCCTCCTCTATAAGATTTCTATTCCTGATCACAGTTTTAGTAAGGTCTCACTAGCATTTGATTAGCTCAGCATTTAATTCAGTTCAGTTTTCCAGTTTCTTTTCTGATAGTGTTCAGGTTTTCCTTCAGTCTTATTTTTGTTACATTTCTTGTTCCTTTCACATCATCCTGATCTCCATCATTCACTGCTCTTTGTCTCCCTGTTCCTCCTTCCCTTTTCTCAATTTTAATTCACTGGCCACTTTAGCTGTTATTTTGCCATTCACCCATATCCATTTTCCCTGTTCTCTTGATGAGAACTTTTTTATGTTTGAAGTTCTAGCCTATTTTCATTGCTGAATAGAATTCAGATAAAATACTAATTGAAATAAATCCTTATTCAAATACTTTACCATTTTAAGGAGTGGAACTATTGCCTTCAAAATGTGGTTACAGCAGGATCATTATTATTATGTGCCAAGTGGTTAAATGCATTATTGCTGTTAGGCAGATTGAGTCCAGAAGACTATGGGGATACTTGGGAATTGCTGAAATCTTGCTCCAAGTTGCTTCTTCCTGTAGGAGACATTCCACAGCTTAGAGTGAGATCATTGTTTTCCAGTTATAGAAAATAGTGTCTGAGGAGTGTGCAAGCAGCAGCACAGATGAACTGGGAACAGTACAGAAAGTGTGTACCTATGCACTTTGTATATGGATTAAAAAGTACAAAGAAATAAAAGTCTCTGATGGTTATATCGAATAATTTAATTAGAGATGGAAGTGTAGCTACCTGGTATATGTTCAAGGAGCTTTATCTTCTAAAGTCATGGAGGAACAGTGTGTATTAGACTGCTGTACTTGCCAAGGTATTGCATTTTATGAAGGGTCGAGTAACGTCA